ACGCCGCATCACACTGTATCGTCCCGCCGCAACCGCAGAGGTATACTTCCCCGCCCCTCCTTCCTCCTTCTTGGACGAGATCCCGCCGCTTAAATCTACTTATTCTTATCTAAGATAGTAGAATACTTTTTGTAACTACTTTTTATTGATTAATTGCAGTCGTGTGTCTTTAGTTAACCTCTCATCATTTGAAAGAGAACGATCTAAAAATCGAAATCAACACGGTTGCCGGCTCATGATGACTATTCTGTTCAATAAAATAAAGATTCCGATCTTAGTGGTACCCCACTGGTGGCGGGCGAGCTACCTACGGCGATGCCATTGGCTAGTTCATGGATACGTATTCCGTAGTGATGGGAACCATGTCATATTAAAGGCATTTTGATAATTAATCAACATTAAATATTACTACTATCATTAAAAATCTATTTTACTAAATTTATTTTTATTCTACTCAAATTTTATAGTACATAAACTAATCGATGGACAAAGCGTCCAACGGTAAAACTTCAGTTAGCAGGTGCGCCTTAAACCGCTAACTCTCAATCACTCGCTGATAATAACTTACAAAAATCGATCGAACACCTGATCGCTACTGAAGATTCGCATACGTGTATTAATTTTGTTAAAACTATCTAACTATATGCAGAATCTAACTATAATAATATTTCATGCGGCATCTATTGGAGGTTATCTGTAGTCGCCGCTAACTTATTTAACAGGCAATCGTGTTGTATAATGTAGATAAAACAATAAACTTTAATTTCATTTATAATTCATTTGAAAGACTTTCAAAATGTTCGTCGTACAATAGTACACTTGCCGTGATGATGGAACGTCATTAAACCATTAGCGGTATATCATCACGGCATGCAAAGACATGTTCGTCCGTCTCATAACAAAGAAAAATTTCACCCCGATTAAAATCTATAATCTGGCCGAATTCGATAAATAATAAATATAAACCAACCAAATCAGGATTACCATAAATTCAGAAAAAAAATAATATGAATTGTAAGATTTTTACAAGGTCATATGTTTATTCAAGAGATCTACTACTATGTACTGTATAAACTGTATGTCCGTTATTGACGCACCGTTCGTGTTCGTGTGTAGAATGAGTACACAACCTATCAACATCCCGAGCTCACCGCAGCGACACGCCTCCTCCAGCACGGTAGAGGACGACATGTTGCTCATCGTACCGGAGGTACGTACGCCGCCCCTGGACGCGCCGGGGTCAAGTGATGTACAATTCATTACGGGTTTACAATGAAATTACGCCACGTTAAAAACGGTAGAGGAAATAGCGAAATTTACTAAGCATATTTTTATTCAAAAATTGAATGGAACGTATCGTGCGGGGGAAGCGGTACTTTAAATTGAATCCAAGCTTCTTGGTCGTTTGCGACGTCGGCCTTCTGGTCCCAGACCTGCTGACTGATACATATTACAATGAGTAACGTGTGCTTAGGGCAAGTCTCGTCACCCGGTCCGTCGGTCTAACTCGTCGCCAGAGATGTCCTCCTCGTGGAAGGGGGAGCCGCGCCCCCCTCCCACCGCCCTCCACCGGCTCGACTCCGAGCTCGAGCACATGATCCTGCTGCCCAGCGCGGAGCCCACGTACGTAGCCCACGCGCACACACCGATCCCGGTCACGGCGCAGGATGTATAGACGCGCGTGTATACGTGTGTGTGTGTGTGTGTGTGCAGGAGCGCGTCGGCCTGCCTGCACGCCACCAAGAAGGCGATCAAGAAGAGCGACATGCGCGTGTCGTGCGAGGCCATCCCGGAGGAGATGAGCGGCACGTCGCCGCACGCGCCGCCCCCCGCGCGCCCCGCCGCCCCCGCCCCCGCCCACCCCGCGGGCCCCGCCGCCCCCGCGCGCCCCGCCTCGCCCGCCTCGCCCGCGCGCCGCCGCGCCCCCCACCACCCGCATCTCGTCACGTACAACTCAGACCCCGGTGAGTGCCCGCACGGCCGCTCCCCACGTTACAATAAACGCAGCGGCATCCTTCATTCTTTAAATGCTATAATATTATGTAAATTATTCATTAAAAAAAAGTCTACGACAGACAGCATGAATTTCGGTCCAGTGTTATGGTTAGTTTACCCGCAGGTACCGCGGAGGCGGAAGACGCTGCTAAGGAGCAGGCAGCCCTCCATCATCAGCTCCAAAAGGTACACGATTGTGTGCAGATTATGTGCATTTTTTATTTTATTATATTTTCCCTTGTCGAAATGGAAACCGAAATAGTGTATGTAATCGACAGTATCTTGAATTCGGTCGCTAACTCATACCGATCGTAAGTTAACGATTATTGCAAGTGTACAGGTAGGTATATTGTTATTCGTTGGGCGCGTACCGAGTGCAACTGGCAAATTATCGATATTCGTTCGGTTTCATTTAATTTGACATTTAATTTTATTTTAAAACAGAGTCGCAGTAACTTGCTATGATTAATAATATGAATTATATGATTAATAATAAAATAATATAAAAATAACTTAATTTGGAAAATACATGTTTGTTGAACTCATTACTCGCTATCATACGATGAATTTTCGCATTCGCTACTCTCGATCGAGGTCATATCTAAAAAAAAATCCGTGGAGAAAAAATCCATGCAGAAAGAAGCGAATGCTCTGACGCAGAGTTCAAAATATAATCATGATTACATATATAAGTTAATGACTCAACAAAAAAAATGACAATGTAAACTCAATGTTTTTTTTTTATTCACCAGCCCTTTTACGGCCCACTGCAGGGGCTCAGGCCTTCCTTATGGATGGTTAAGGAGGATGGGCCATGACCCTCCACGCTGGCCCAATGCGGATTGGAGCGTATTAACGACTGCGTCACCCATCCCGTGACCGACCCTTGCGAAAGTTGCTTAACGACTACGATCGCGGACCGCGGCGCTTATCCACTACGCCACCGGGCTACTCGAACTCAATGTGTTGCTCTGAAAATAAAGATTTATTTGTTAGTAACAAAAACAAATTATATTACTACTTAAACTTAAATTACACTTCATAAAATTCCTACCTAAAAATAAAGAAACGACATTAAGAAGTTATTTTTTATCCAATCCTCTTGAAAATATGTATTTTTAATAATATTTATAATTTAGTTATTTTGACATTACACACTTTTTAATATGTAAGCTTTTTGATAATTTGACATCTATAAATTAGTAGTATTAGAAAACCAAAGAGTTTTTTATGCACTACATTTATCTACTTTTTCTTTACACATATAATAACATTCACCAAGGATCAAAGATTATGTATTAGTCAAATTGTTTTTTCATATCATTTATTAATTAATCATACATAAATTACGAAAAACATAATTATCCATGTAATGTAATCTTCAACGCAGAGTTAACGAAATGTTATAATGAATCATGGCCACGTGTCGCCCATCTCTGCCTGATGCGCCGATATCTAACTATCTACCGGACATCCGTGCCCTCAGACGGCCAGCGACAGCACGGTGACCACCGCCCCCGCCCCCTCCACCTCCACCTCCGCGGCGGCGGCGGGGAGCGAGCGGGACGACCTGCCCCCTCTGTCCCGCTCTAAACGCAGCCACACCATCTCCGTCATGAGCCCCACCAGGAGACACCGGTCAGTATGCGCGCGCTTTCTTAATTCATTCGTTCCAGTAACTGAGTTAGTGCCGCCCGGCCGGTCCGTCTGTGTGTGCTGCACTTCTATACGCTACTCGTGCACGCGATATGTTTAAATCAGGTCTACCTGCAACGTTTTTTTATACAAAGCGGGAAGATTGATTTTGCTAACTTTTTATATAAATTGCGATGAACTATAATACGTCATATTTTTTTATATTTAATTTTGTCAACTTTATCCTTAAATATTCGCACATCGATTGGATGAAACTCGTTTTTAAAAAAAAGTATGTAAACCGTTTCGCAGAGAAAACATAGTATCCCGCGGCGGCGGCGCGGCCAGCACGGCCGGCGGCGGCGGGGGCGCGGGGGGCGGAGGCGGGGCAGCCGCGGGGGCCGGCGGCATAGGCGGGGGCGGGCTGACGCCGGCCTTCATATTCCTGCAGCTGTACCACAACATGAGCACCTACCCTGTGGCGCCGCCCGTTCCAGGTACGAACCTCCCCCTCCCGGTCCCTAAGCAACGTGCGTGTCCGGGCCCTGTTCTGTTTATTCTGTTGTTTTAAAATTTGAACAGTAAATTTGTTCTCGTTTCAACCATCGCGCGCCCTCGACATTGTCACGGGTCGACGGCTCATAGATATGGTGTCGCCCTGTTGCCTTATATTGAGATCAGAAAAAGTAACGTGTCCGCTGCGCAGGCGTGGCGCCGGCAGCGCTGAGCCCGCTGGCGGAGCGGCCGCTGCGCGTGGCGGGCGCGCAGCACGAACGCACCATAAAGAACCTAGACCTCGTGCCGCCAGTCGAGACCTACAAGGTACAGTGCACCTTACAATAATCATACCGGCGGGAGTTGTTCAGATTAGATTTATATCATACAACATTGACGCTCTGAAAAATTTATTCAGGACTATGAAGTCACATTTTGAATTTAACGAGACAAAGCTAAAAGATATTTTGTCTGTGAAATATTTTAGAAATTAATCGATTGATTGGATATAGTTTAAAAATATATTTTCCTATATAGTATGAAACAAAGTCGCTTTCTCTGTCCCCGCACGACACGCGCATGTATGCTTAAGTCTTTAAAACTACGCAACGGCTTTCGATGCGTTTTTTTTTTTTCATTGATAGGGTGATTGAAAATTAAGGCTTTTATGTGTAAATGTAATCCAGTATAAGTAACGTGTCATGTGATTGGATATTTTTTTCTGTAAAATGTTGGATCATGATCGAGAAAGTATATCCGATGATGATAAATATAATACAGCACGCGGCCAGTTGTTGTTATGTAAATCAGTGCAATAAGCGTGGACGTCACGTAATACTGTAGGGAATGTGTTTGTATCAGGTGGGTGTCCTGTATGTGGGCCCCGGCCAGCAGGATAACGAAGTGGCGATATTACAGAACGAGTACGGCAGCGTCCGGTGAGTCACTTGTATATCTCTCTATATAGGCCGTCCATTGATCACGCGATGTTTTTTTCAGCACTTTAACCCCCCTTTCCCTTGGTGATACAGGGGGGAGTTAAGACACCACCTCCCCTCTCCACCCAAATCATGCCTATTCTAGAAAACTTGGAGGGCGACCTTGTGAATGTGTACGAATAAAAGAACTTGGTCGATTCTAGCAACTGGACTGTTTCATTATTTACATTTACAAGTGTGGTGACTCGCCTCACATCAGTAATATACACTTTGTGCATCTCGTTTTCTTTAAATTGAACGTTAAACAGTTATTATGGAACCCACGTAGAGCATTCCCCCGTTAGCTGGACACTAAAGAGTTGCGTCCGCCAGATACTCGGAGTTCCTCTCGTCGCTGGGCTCGCTGGTGCCGCTGGACGGGCCGGAGCTGCCGCACCTGTTCCTGAACCTGGAGCGCGGCGGCAAGGACGGCGACTACACCTACGTGTGGCACGATGACGTCATGCAGGTGGGCGCTATATACTATACGGCTATTTATACACGTGAAATGTTTTACCCGACTGCGCGACGCAAAGGAGGGTAATGTGTTTATCAGTCTATGTATGTATGTATGTTCAAATGCGTAGGCCGATTTTGATGATTCTTATGTCAATCGATTCGTCACAGTAATCAAAATTCATGACAGTAATCAAAATTCACCACAGCGACAACCAGACGCCATATTGTTATAATGAAAAAAATAATCGATGAAATATATCAAGTGGGGTGTCGTTGAATGGGTATTTTGAAATCATCTTTAGGTTCCTTTTATCATTTTTCATTCAAAGTTGTTCAACAAACGATATTAACTCTCTCAATGAAATGACTAGATTACGAAATTTACCATCTTATAACGTCAACGAATGGTAACTGAAAAGTATAAAATAAATATAAATAATTTAAAGAAAAACAAAAATAAGTACTTAAATAAAATGCGAGTATCTAAAATAAATGCGCGTGGCTGGTGTGTCTACTTGGCCGGGTGGAAAGAAAACTATCACGTCATGTAGATTCGGCGTCTATCCGTAACTATCCGAAACTTTTATTTCAGGTACATAGGTTACGGATACGGATAATTTTTATTTCGGATATCCTATAGTTTTGGTTACAGTCACGGAGCTCCCTAACATCTCTGGTACATTTGTGGATTTCTATATTATTTGACGGCTTTTGATGTGCGATATATAATATAATTAGATTTGTCTCGTTTGCTATGCTTATTACAGGTGCTGTACCACGTGGCCACGGCGATGCCGACCAGTGCCAGGGACCCCACGTGCAACGAGAAGCGCAAGTACATCGGCAACGACTACGTCTCCATCGTATACAACGACTCCGGCGCTGACTTCAACATACACACCATCAAGGTACACACGCGCACGCACACACACACACACACACATATTTATACATAAATACACGAAGTGAAACGAGCTAGATTCCTTGGTATTAAATTTCAACCGAGCGTATTTGACGTGTCGCCGTGCATGTGTCGCAGCCAAATGGTATAATCGACCAATTGGGCGGCTAGACCTTTAATTAAATGGCTTTTGCTAACGGGCTGATAATCAATCAGCCTCGTAGTAGAACACGTTGATCTACAATACGGCTGAACGAAAGTCAGCCAACCAATAACTGTCAATGTCTAAGGGTTACCATAATTTATTATTACGATTAGGATTAAAACAAAATTAATAATTTTATAGTAATTTTTTTATTAATGGTGTATGCGTAATAAATAAATGTTTAGTTACAAAAAAGATGATCAAAAATCTTTCTAAAACAAACAAAAACATTTCTTAAAATTGAATAGGGCCATTTGTAAGGTTTAAACAAATAAACTTTAACTTATTACACTCAAATAAAAAAGTATCACATATATTTTGTAAAATAATAATTGTTTAAAACAACTCATAGAAATTAAACAAACATCTTTCTAAAACAAAACAAAAACATTTCTAAACATTGAAAAATGACCATTCGAAAAGTTCAAACAAATAAACTTTAACATTTTTTATTACACTCAAGTAAAAAGTATCTCATATATTTCGTAAAATAATAATGATTTCAAAATACTCTTAGAAATTAAACAAACATCTTCAACTTTTCTTCTTTTACAGAACATCAACTTCTAACTAAAATTACAAATTTAAACAAACTGATACATTTAAATAATAAACGAACGAACAGCTCAAAAGTAACATTTTCATGAAATAAGTAACTATAGATTATTTCATGTAGAAAAAAACGTACTGCTAATACTATAATTAGGAACTTGTTTCCTGATACTATAATTAGATCATAACCATGTGCATAACCAAAAATTAATTATAACCCATTAGCTCAGGTTCGAAAGAATTGTGAATCTTATTGATTCAATAATTCAATATTTAATAATTGACTTGTGATTCTGAAAAAAATTGTGTAAACGTCAAAGTAAAATTTTGAGTATCGTAATCTAGAGCTAACATGAGAGGGCCAAAAGTAGTGTAAATTCTTACAAAAGTAACATTCTGGCAACGTTGGTTGATAATCGTTTGTAAAGAAAGTGAAGCTAGCGTCACGTTAGCAAACGAATAAACTAATTGAACATTTTGGCGACTTTTTAATCAGCCGTTTTGTCGAACGGTCCAAATGTCATATTTATTAATTAGAAAACTAGTCTAGCCGCCCAATTGGTTGGCTGATTATACCATTTGGCTGCGACATATGTACATTCCGAATGGCTCGTCTCCTAGTATATATTGAAGTCTCGGATTTTTATAATACGTACTCCCCACACAAATCTTCACCTCCACGTTCGCCGCACGTGATGGAGTTTCCCGAGGGTGAAAGACTTTTTAAAGTCGGAGTGTGTTCGTCGCAAATACATAAGTAATTTTTGTCTGTGCCTTTTTTTTTTGTCAATGCAACTACGAGAATGCCGTATCTTCCCTTTTTGTTTTAATTAAAGGATGAGCCTAAACGTTTTAATGAAGTCCTTTTGAAGCATTTCGAAGGCGGCCCTTTTTAACTGATTTCAAAATATTTAATAGTTTTTTGAATAAGCTAGCCAATTAAGCCTTAAAATAAGTGTTATAAAAAAAAGAAAACTTTATTTATTTGATGAAATAAATGGATATCCAACAAAATACCAAATAATGAACTGTATCTGTATCTATCGCGCCTAAATGATGTAATACGGTCGTCAGGGCCAGTTCAACCTGTGCGTGGTGGTGGTGGAGCCGCTGGAGCACGGGCTGAGCCGCGTGCTGCTGAAGAGCAAGGACGAGCGCCTCCGCAGCAAGTTCCTGCCGCACGCCGACACGCGCGTGCTCACCGACGCCGCCGCGCCGCTGCACGCCCGCCAGGTGGCGCTGCACGCCGCCGTCAGTATATATACACCATAGCTGTATAGCAGTATAGACTCGCCGCTCCCTGCTCGGTTCTAAAGCGTCGACGTGTCCCGCAGTTGGCGGCGCAGATATCGCAGTCGCTGCGCGTGGGCGGCGCGCCGTACGCGTCCAACTCGCTGGAGCGGCTGCGGCTCATCAAGCGGCTGCGCGGCCGCCTCGAGGGGGAGCGCCAGGCCGCCGCCGCCCGGCCCCCCGCGCCCTACCACCCGCCCGCCTCCGACCTGGCGCTGCGCGTCGCCATCGACGACTTCAACGCGTACACGTAACCGCCCGCGCCCACCCGCGCCCCCCCGCCCGCGGCCGGCCGCCGGCCGAGGCCGTTCGTGCCCGCGCCTCGTCCGCCGGCCGCCCGTCGGCGGAGATGCTCCCCCCCCCTCTCTCAGGGTCTCGGCGCCCGCGGGTGTTCGCCCGTGACGGACGCGAGCTTCGTGTGACCTCCCGGCCTTCGGTCGTCCGAATTTGACGTTCTCGATTCGCCTCGCGTTTAGTCCTCGATCGATGCGAAAGGTCTCCGCGGAATCTTTCGTTTCGTTCGATCGGACCGGTCGATTTTTCGTCTGAACCGTTCGGGGCTCGAATTACTTTAAGGCGACCGGCGGATCGGCCCCGTCCGACGTGCCGTTCGAGTTAAAGTTCGGAGCCGGGGCCCCCGGAGCCCGCCCCGTCCGCCGCCGCCCCGTCGCTCGGCGCTCGACGGTCGAGCGTTTCTCGTTGAAATATTTTATGTAGCGATTTATTTCCTGACGAAAGATTTTGTAATCGATAAATGATGGCTATTTTTTCACGCTTATTATTTCATCCCTTCTTTTCCCCGCCCCGAAACCCTTTCTGTCCCGAGAATGTCCGGTGGCCCGAACGCTAAGTCGGCCGCTTCAGATTGTTCATCTGTGTTTAACATTCTATCGGTTAACTGTTTAATTTGTCACTAGATATCGATACCTACTCTGTATCAAATAAAAAGTATCGATACTTATTTGTATCAAAATATAATTTTAAAATGCCTCACCATTGTCGTCATTAATAATGTGCCAATTAGATTATTATACACATCGATTATAGTAATACTCGTAATCGAGGAATATTTTTTTTCCAGTGCAAAAATTTTTTTCTGGTGGTTCAGTATCAGTAATAGAACACTTTTCCATAATTAGTTAAAAAAAAATTTTAAAATATTTTTATCCCTATCGAAACGGTAGAATATGGACACATTTTTTAAAATAAAACTTCAATGAAAACGTCTTCTCTTGCGTATACCACCGTTCATCCCCGCCGCGCCCGGTAGCCCCCCCGCCACAGCCCCCGCCGCCCCGCCGGGACCGAGCGACGCGCGCGACAGTGGCGGCAGTGAGACTTATACGCACGCGCCGATGTGATGTGCCCTCGCGTTCCCGCGCACGCGACGCGCCCGCCGTCGTGAGTTTTACGAGATAGTGCGAATTTATTTTCTGAGTGGTGAGAACCTAAGAGCAATTCGGAGAAAGTATGCGACGCTAATGCTACAGTAACCATTTTAATGCTTCGAACCATTTTAACAGACGAAGTCCCAGAGTCAGTACCCACGATGCGGCATGTCTCTTTGGTGTGAGCCAGCCTGCGGTATTGAAGCTGCTAAAAACATCCGGACTCCATCCGTACCACTTTCAGCCGGTTCAACAGTTCCATGACCTAGACCCAGTACCACGTCGAGCCTTATGCTAGTGGCTTCTACATCACCGCGATGCAAACATCTTGTGGACGGATGAGGCATTGTTCACACGTGAGGGACTGTTTCTTATGGGAAGAAGTCAAACGCCGGGATGTAGAGGAGGAAAGTCTAGAAGACTTAACAATAAAAAATAATAACGCTTTTAGCGAAGTGAAAAGTGACACTAGTGTTTTAAACAAATTAAATGACAATTTAATGAAATGTGCACGTTTATGTCTGGACAGACGTGGGCTTCATTTTGAACAAATATTAAAACACATGGTAAGTGATTAGTTAGGTATTTGTTTTGATTCAACATTATTGTAAATACGTAGTTGATTCTAATTTTTTTAACCCGTCACGCGATTAAGTCACAAAACGCACTTGAAGCGTTTGCACACCTGTGTGTTCAAAAAATCGCGAGACGGGTAATACGCCTTAACGCAGAAGTACCTATGTAACTTCGGCATAACGTATATTTTTGTTTCTAGGTAACGAATTTGTTTCTCTTTTATTTTTTTGCATTGTGATGGCCTTAACCATAAAAGTATGAAGGGAAAATTGGAATTACTCTTAGAAATCACCTCAGATCATGGCATAAAATCTAGTTCGAATCTAACAAAATGAGCGGCCAGTGACCCGTGTAGATAGGTACCTACGAGTACATGCCTACGGCCGGCGTCGAGCGAGCGCTCAGCTGACGCACGGCGCGCGGTGTCCATACATTAAGTTTTAAAATCTCGATCTTTGATAAGCGATAACTTTATTTTTTAGTATTAGACCATATCAAAATAAAAAATACGTGTTTGTTTAAATTACTTAAAGTTTATTTTCACAAAATCTTCGCAGTGGTTTTAAATTATTCCTGTATTTTTACCCAAAAAGATTATTAATGATTTCAGAAAAATTCCATCGTATTTTAAAGGCATCTACATTAATTAATAATACTTAAAAATCCATTTTAAGACAATGGTTACCAAAATGGTTACCGGAACAAACAGACAGACAAAAAAATATAAAAAATATTATTTTGGTATAGGTATGTACCGTTTATACTTACATGTGCATTTAGTAAGAAACGGTTAAAGTGTATTTGTTAAAATAAAACTGTAAGATCCGTTCATTCATTCATCGGGAGTTCCCCGACCAAAGTGTAAAGTTACCTATTAGTTAAGTAATAAAATATCTACTAATAATAGTATTCACACTCGCGATCCGCTATTGGTTGCTGAGCCATCGAAGCAAAATAAGTAGGTACTATACTAACGTTTTAAACTATTCCTATTGCTAACGTTTTAAGAAATAATCGATGGTTAATCGTCGATTACGAAAGCATAATCGGTAGAAACTGATTATTAAAAAAAATCGATTAATCGACTAATGGTAATCGATTCCGCTCTACACTGAATTTTCAGGTCCGGCGGTCCGATTTTTTCCGGTCGGGAATGACATGAAAAACTCGGATGAGTAGCTTGTGCACTTGTCCGTTTTTTTCCTGATCGGAGCGGCGCAATGTAGGGCAGCTCTCTTTGAAGCTACACGTCACTTACGCTAGATACGATGAGATTTTTGGAACGTCGGTAATTCCGTTCGAAGACGTAGAAAAGTACCTAAATAATGATCTGATCGTTTTACATAAACCATAATAAATTATGGCAAGACGAAAGCATTTTTTTTACTACTATTGGATGACTACTATCAGATGTAAAAACTTATACCCTGTTAAAAACTAATTTAGGAACAGCATTATTCACATACAATAGCTAAAAATATCTGTGACATTAGAATAAAATTACTGATAATGGTCTAATACTTGATGTTTAAATTTTTAAACGTGCTATTTTTTTTCGAAGTTTTCTAAAAACAACTTTCAGCGATTACAGAGATAGACCAATCGGTGGCGCCATTTCGTAAACAAATCGAAATTAGTGCCGTGTTAGCGGAGAATTATTATGCTAAATGAACTTTACGAGATCAGTTGACTGTATTATATACAGGCATAATTTTATACGCGTGGTGTAGTTTCTTTGAGCAGAAATATTATTCCCTTAGAATAATTCTTTTTTTTTAATTTATTAATGACACAAACATACATTTAAATCTTATTAAATGCGAAAAAGACATTGTGTGTCACTTAATTACTTTTGTTAATCTTCTGTTTATTCTTTATTTTTACTTCTGTTGTCAAATATTTATCTATATTTATCAATTGTCTAAAAAAAAATGATAATGACAAATTTCCAGGCAAACTTTCATCCCCTATTTTTCGCGATAAAATGTAGCCTATGTCCTTTCTTAAAGTTAAGTCTATTTACTATATTAATTTCCATTTAAATGGGTTCAGTTGTTTAGGCGTCTAAGCGTAACAACACTTATTTATCTTACTTAATCTATCGATACTTTTAATACGATTCTAAAATCTAGCTAAGTATCGATACTAGAACCATACGCTGATAAAATTAGAACTTTACCGAGTTTGCCAAAGCTTATGCAGCGATATATACCAACTATATTAAATCATCATATAAAATATAGCATTTTATAATCAACAATAAATATCGATTATAAGTTTATTGGAAATTAACAATATTGCCGAAATAAATATCGATTCAAATCGATTATTTTTTCCCAAGCCTATTCCTTATGAATTTTCCGGATCTCGGACACAGCAGTGCACAAGCGCAAACACGTTTTTCATTGCCGCTATCACGGACCTGAAAAACCGGTCCAGAATAGAGAAAAGTAAAATTCCGGACGGTAAAATTCCTGACAGTGCAAAAGCGCGCATTACCTACATATGGCCTGACATATCGGACCTGAAAAAATCGGACCGCCGGACATGAAAATTCAGTGTAGTCTTTAGACATCTGACCACAGAGTAAACAATCATTGCACGAGAATTTTCCTCAGTGAGTGCTCGCCCGAAGTACCGATACAAATACTTCACGATACTACTTGTCACTCGGTGCTAAAGTATCGATACCAGAGTACTTGGTATCGAAAGAAAAATATCGATAAAATACTTGTATTTATTCGTACCGTTAGCGACACGCTCGCATTAAATATGATTAAATACACTTCATAGTTTTTCTTCGTTGCCACCACGCGTTGTGGTCGAATAGCATGACAGCCACGACACTGATTTCGCTGCGATTATTCTGCGAATCTCACACAACGTATCGTGAACGTTTTCTTAAGAGCCCGTAACACAAATTTCGCTATGTCAATATTTTACTGTGACCACAACGCGTCGTGAACTATTTTGGCACACAATGAGTGATTTCGAGCTCTACGTGTAACATATACAATTATCAAATAATTTATTTCTCACCACAAACAACATAATATTAATAATTATCATAAACAATAGATTTCATAACATTGTAACACAATTCAGTGATATTTATATTAAGATTCTACTATACTACAAACAACTCTGGTTTATTGTTTACAAACTATATATAAATAACTAGCTTTTGTCCGCGTGGTATAGTTACTTTGGGCATCATATTTTCCAAATACGCTGTTGTTTTTGAGCTGATGATGAAATTACCTTGATGTTTAAGTTCGAAGATGTAAAACAAAATACCAACGAATGTCTAATATGTTTCAGCACTTTATCTTTAATACTTTAGAGATATTAATCCAATTCAATGCAATTTGAAATAAAGACGAAAAAAACAGTTCTGAAGTTTACACAAAACTTAATCGAAAACGTAATCTACGCAAAATTCTTTGAAAGAAACGTTACCGCAGATTACTTTAGAATAAACGCCATCTAGAACACAGCGCCATCTATTGGGTGTATTTGCATCCTAGATGTCAAACGATATTGAAGAATTTTATCTATGAATCACCGTACACCGCCATCTATGAGAACTTCATAAAACTAAACAGTAAATAAACACTTGCTTAAGAAACAATTAATTAGAACATTTTATTTGTTTGCATTCCCGACATAAGCGAATAATTGAGATGATAACTATCCTATCCAGTAAGTTAAAACAAAATACGGGTACATGTGAAATTTGATTGAAATCGGTTCAGTAGTTTTGGAGTTTATTGGCAACATACATCGTGACACAAAATTTTTATATATATAAGATGAGATATATAAGATATGCCCAAATAAGGACAAGCAAAAATGAAACTAATTTAATTAGAGATAATACCTCAAATTCCAAGAAGGAAGCACAGGGCACTACTACTGTACTGTTTACTGTACCGAACAATGCATATTATAAATATTACATTTGATAAATTTTTGCATTCACAATGCTATACTGAAACATATATTATTCTAAGAGTATATGTGGCAAGTAGATATTATAAACATTTTTCATTAATAATTTTCAGTATCGCATTGTGAATGCTAAATTAAACAAAATATGATTATTAGAACAAAATTCTCATATTTATCCAAAATTTCAATATTTGTAACAATATTTCTTTCAGCTGTTTGGATGGATGCCTGTACATTGATGAGAATATGCTCTGTAGTAGCGAAAAGTAATAAGTGCTTGAAAGATTCGTCCGTCTTGTTAGGTCCTGGGTAGCTCAGTGGTTAGAGCAGTCGCCCGGAATGCGAAAGGTTGTGGGTTCAATTCCCATCTCAGGGTGCCAGGGACCAAGTGGACTTTTTAAGCATTTTGTATTAAGAATAATTCAAATTAAAAAGAGAATGAAGATAAAGGCATTTATTTACACTACTTAAAACTATCTGAATCTATTAAATTTATTCTTTCTTTTCATCTAATTTTCTTCGCCACACTTTTACTTTGCCTCTCAGTTCACGTAATCGTTTCATTTCATCCTTGAAATCTTGGTGCTCATCACGATAGAGCCCATATTCTCTAAGTTTTAACATTAAGGCATGAGTCTCTACATGACGAGGATAGTAATGAATTATCTCTTCATTAGTATGTAAGGGACGTTGAGAAAATATCTTGACAACCTTCATTGATTTCGAGTTGGTGGGTATCGCTACTTCTCCAAAAATTCTATTCGACAATCGTTTCATACGACGAGCGTAATTTGTGGAAGCATTGATTAATTGTGCATATTTAGCATAGTTTGTTGCCATGTTTTTCCTGTAAATATAAAAATCGAGTATTAGAATCACTTTCTGTGTCACAAAATAAAATTAATGAAAACAAATGGACGGCACTAGAATTTATTTGATAAGCGTTGAGCACTCAACTCAAAAGCACCATAATTATGAGCAAGAAATAGTTTAAACCTAACCTTAACTGGGTTGTGGGTTAGGTTAGGAACATCATATTTATTCTCAAGGTAATCTTCTTCTTTACTCTCATTAACTCTAATAAACTTTTATTCTATTTTCAAATGAGTTCGAAACATCCTGGATATTATCTACTGTAATCGAGTGTAATATAAAAATTACGGGGATAGAATAAAGAAAATTTTGAAAAAAAAAATCGGTCTTTTAAAAATTTATTAAGAGATTTTAACACAATATAAAAATTTTAGTTCTTCAAATAATGTGTCTTTTATATTAATTGAAAAAGTAAAATTCTACTTTAGCATTTTTAGCAAAATGTTAGTTCATGTTTAAATTATAGTGTTTATGTTCTATTGATAAACAAAGTTTAGCGTCAGTGTAATTAATTAAGCTATAAATGCAATTTTAGTATTAGTCCAATGAATTTAGACAGTGAATAAAAACTACTACCTTCTAGTTAATATTACTACCGTAGAACCTCGTACTAGGTTAAACTTTGCTAAGTCTGTTTAATAATATGAATTTTGATTAATACTAAGTGCAGTCTCAGTGTAAATTTACTCCAATGACAAACCTTGTATATTAATAACACTGTTACCTAATTAATGTATTAGGATGCCTTCTTACAATATTTCACAAATATTTTAGTAGGTATCTATCCGTCTATTTATGCCATAGAATAGAATACTCCTAACCACAGAATAATATACTCTACGAGCTCCTAACGGAGATTTATGCTGTAAAAGTGTAAATTAGGGATGCACGATATATCCAAAAACCTATATATCGAAATATCGACTCCCAAAATATCGATATCGAAAAAACCAACATATCAAAACCTTATATCAAATAAAATCCTTAGAATAAAACATTGACCTAATACAAACTGTATATCAATTTACGTTATCAATGGTAACGGTACAAAAATCAACGGTATTTTCATGTAATATTATATTAGTAAACTGGAATGAATTTTTGAAATAGGGTATTTGACACTATCGAAAATAAGTTGCATTTAGTGGTCATCCTGATAGATAATAATCTAATAAAGCTTAATTCTTAACATCTGCAGAAAAAACATGTTTATATTTAGTAAAATAAAGTAAAGAAAATGCAATATTTTTAGGAATGTCTTCAACGACGAAAACGTCCTATAATTGGTCGTCGTCACAACCAACCACGATTCTGTTTACTGGCCTGTGACGTTATCAGCTGTCATATCAAAGTAGTGATAGAAAGATACATAAAATATCGATGCCTGTAGGTATCGAGTACTTTATAGTAATTTACTGATAACAGAATACTTTGCCGCTTCTGTTGATAAGAACTGCCAAAAAGAAATACAGAAAAAAAGAATCATTTACTAAGATTTTTAAAAAATCCAAGAAATAGGGAAAACGCCAGCAATTTAAAAAAGAGCAACTTACATGTTTTTCTCATTTCTTGAACTTTAATATAATAATTCAAAATTACAAAGTGGATTTTACTGATACTGTCCAAGTTAAAAACTAATAAAAAATATCATCAAGATTTGATGTCTAATTATCAAGTGCCATGCATTTAGTGGTCATACATACTACATGCATGTATAAAAAAAAAAACACATTATTTTTCGTACTAAAGTCTCATCCATCTGTAGGTCGACTGGCTGTAAAATGCGAGCCTTGTCAACAGATATAAATAAGTCGTAAAATGTTTATGATATAGAAAAAAAAAACAAAAAGAAAACCTTCAAATGTATCGATATGAAATAAAAAAGTTTCATAACTTTTAGCGAATCCTTACCTAATTTTATCACCCATCTTTACTCTATATAGCTACTAATCTATTTGTGATTGTGAATCTATTTTCTTCTAGACTCGAAGTTTGTTTGTTACTTATAGAAGTATAAGTACATTGTGGCATTACGCACCACTTGTAGCTCATTTTATAAAGAAAAGTAGAGGAAAATAAAATACGTAAAAAATACGCACTACGACATCAAAATCTATTTCAATTTACTATAAAGACAGTTGTTACTTGTCGATTTAACATATTTACTGGCTGTGACGTCTCGATCAGCGCCATTATATAGAGCAGCGTTTTTCGCGCGATTTTGGTTATTTAAACCAATGAAATATAATGACAGTGTGTTTATAATGTAGCAAACAACAATTTAAAATAGTTTTCAGAAAAGTGTCAAATATCCTATTGGTCCGGTAGCATCAAAGTCTTTTTGATCTATCTTATAAAGTCTTTTTGGAACAATAAAACAATCAAATATTTCTTCTTTATTATACTATTATCGATAAGGAATGTTCATCAGATGGCTGCATTGACAACGAACGGATTAAGAATTCGTCCGTGGGACCACCCTCCGTTCCACACTGGGCCCGCGTAAATGCAAATAGACTTAGTACTTATAACAGGACAGGGTACTCAGTACTCACAGCTGAAAAACGAGCCGAGTGAGATATCAAGTACAGAGGCTATTTGCCCCTTTCTAATGAACATCAGCCCTTTTTCGTCCTTTCCTTATGAATGGGTAAGGAGCATGAGCCATAACCCTCCACGCTGGCCCAATGCGGATTGAAGGGTAACTCCATACCCTTTATAATAGGATGACATAACATTTTGATTAATTGAGACTTTTCATATTATGGCTCAGTTTTTTAACTACTGCTACTATTATCGTTTACAATAATCTTGTTACCACTTTTGCGCAATGTCATATACTAATATTACCAAATCATAAAAAAAACAATTTGACAAACAATTATGGCAATATCCTTCCTATATAAATAAGTGAAAAGCTCGATGGTGTAGTGGTTAGCGTGTTTAAACCGCGATTGCGGAGGTTAAGCGATGATCGCAAAGGCCGGTAATAAACACTTTAATAAATAAATAAAAATATATTAAATTTAGAAAAAAATGTCGTATTATATTATTGATTGCCAATAAATCTGTCAAATTATTTATTTATTTACTTCATTCCAGAATGTAGTATTAGGATGTTTATAAAAAAAAAAAACAAAAGTATCATTATGGACCCCGTCGGGCACAGCAAGTAGGGAGAGAGGGGAGGACACTGCTTTAAAATATTGATAATAAGTATTTCATTTCTTTTATAAATTAAATAATTTAAATTTTGAAAACTTACCCATTTAGAAGATATTTGAATTAAGTAGATATTAAAGTACAATAGTAGAATATTATATTTTAATTCGAGTTAAAGTTTTTCACTTAGGTATTATTGTATGGTATATAATTATTTTTAGTTAATTAATTCACTATTTGTTTTATATAATCTATTTCTTTATTTAATTTTTATTGAGTTTGGTAGATTATTGTACATTTTTATTCACATTGGCAGTGGACCGAAGAGTGTAATTTTAAACGGGAGGTTGGTATGGTTAGTTTATTCCAATTGCGTAAATTATAAGTAGTTGCTCCTTCACGTTTTTTATAAAATTCCGGGTATTCTCGTACGAACTTACATACTTCTAATATAATATATGGGGCCTGCTACAAAGTGGGGACAAGTGTAGGGCCTGGGGCTGTAGGCCGGGCATTTAAAAAAAAAAGAAAATATAATATATGCTATATAATAATGAAACAGTAAACAACCGATTACACTCCCTTGAGGGATCGAGGCACCATTTGATCCAATGTTTTTTATTTCTTTTGTGTTATAGTTAAAATATTCTACCTCAACAAAATGTTATCTATCTTTTAAGAATGACTTTAGCCAATTATATGGCTTTCCTCGAATAATATGTTAAATTGTACTTTATCATAAGTTTTTGAGATATCTAGCAGTTTGTTTATTATCAATGATATTGAACATTTCTTGGATTTATTTATAAATCGCCAGCACAGTAGATTTAATTTTGCGATAGCCGTTTTGAGACTCGTCAAACACTTTGTATTTTTCACAGAAGTTATAGATACGATTACTCATAGTTTTCTCAAAAACTTTAGATGCGGTTGGTAAAAGGGCTTAGGAACAGTAATCGATAGGTGCTTTTTGTGCTTTTTGCGTTTAGTAAATAACATACAAATAAACCATTATTCATTTATTATATTTTTAATATATATTTATTACACTGATAACAATTCAATGCAGTACAGTATGCAGTAGCTTCACGTATCTGCCCCCAACTGTTGAGTCATTGTTGTCGCATTTCTTCATTTTCTGGAAATCTATATTAAGAGTTAGACTTTGCTATGACCACATACACACTCATTCACATATTAAAAGACTGCATATTAAACATAGTTATTTACAATGTTATTGTTTTTATCATAATCGTGAAAAACGTATTGTAACCACTACAAGATTCACTTGGATAAACATAAAAGCAATAATATTCACCATTTTAACATTGGTTGGAATGTATAAAAAACTACTGAAATGCAAATACCAATTATATGTCACCGGCACAGCACTTCAAAGGAAGAAGAAAATAAGTGAATAAATAGCCTTGATAATAATAAATACTATCTTTTGGTAAAAAAAAAAATAATATTAACGAAATTAATTTTATTATATATTAACTTAAAATTTTAATACAGTTACCATTAAATTACAAATGTTTTCACTAAGGTTATTTTAGTTAAATTAAAGAACGATATTTTTTTAAAAAGGCTAGACGAAAGAACGAGACACATGACCTCCGTTGTTACTATCTTTCTCGGCTAGGATTAGGTGTACAAAGATTGATTAAAAATATGCTTTAAGTGATAGCGAAGAGGTTAATTTTTTTAACTATAATTTTTTGGATTTACAAGTACTAGGTCCATGTATAATTTAGTTACTCTATGCCGAAAACACTAAACACCTTACTAGTGGTGTTCAATTAGCGTCCAGCGTGTTAATTAACACGCTTTTCTCTCTCGACGATTAACACTGCTTAGTAAGTATACGCGAAGGCGCTAAGAATTTCACGCGCTAATCGATTCACGCGTGAATTTCCAAAACGTTGATCGTTGGCAGACGTGTCGTTGCTAATGCTCGGAGCACGCTAAGTAGGTAATAAGCTTACTAAGTGGATATTTTAATTACTTAATATTAGAAGAGTGATTATGTATTCTGTGTATGTGAAGTTTGTGTGTGTAATTAGGTAGTAAACGGTTGTTCAAAACAATTTTATTGTGAATAAAATATATAATAGCAAATGTACATAGTAGATTCTTGTTCATAAAATCAATGAAGTTTTAAATACGTCTATAATTGAATTATAGACAGTCTTCAGCCTGTAAAGTATAAAGGGAAGTTGATCGATTTTATATACTGCTATGATTTGTAAATAATAATAAGTTACTGTTTAATATAATAAAATAATTAAGGTGTTACACCCTTACGCTTCTTTGAATTAACTTAAGAAGACTTAAGAATTTATTAGCTTCTTTAACGCGTTAAAAATATACCGTTAGTCTTTAGCGCTTTAATGATTTTTAGTCGTTTTGAAACCTCTCCACTTACCTTATTTTACTCTTTGATGGCGATCAATCAAACAAATCCAAATTTAGTTTGTTACCAATTTCAAAAGGTTATTTAGAAACTTTTTGGAAAAAGCATTTTAAAAGTGGTTCCATTACTTTTTATGTTCTGTTCTTTAACACAGAACATAAAAAATAAAACCCGCTTAAAAGAACTTGAGAATCGTTTTATTTCATAAATATTTTAAGTATTCGGCTTTGCGCGTTACTTACAAATAATACAATATTACCTACCTATCTGAATGTCTCACTACACAGGACTTCCGGAGGTAGTCGTTAAACCTGTAAGTTGTTTAAATTGTCCTTTTCTATTTTTCTATACAAAAGAGACTATACGTGAACGTGATGTTTAAATAATATATTATCCAATTTCAGGGTAACATGATAAGCTACTGGTCATCTAAGCTAAAAATATGCGTGTTCCTTCTCGCAGTTTTTCTTTACATTTATTGCCTGCTTTTGATAAAGACGATTTATATGAAAAACAAAAGACTCGATCATGTGATGGCGATGGTAAGCCCATACATAATATAATCTAGACTCTCATTTTTGTCACCACAAAACATTGGTTCATTATGTGTCAATCCCCGAAAGGTCTAGATCGTAAAGTGTATAATACACTTTCATCTTCTTTCATAATTGCTATATTATTATGCCAGTCACCTTTTGGGGCTGTTCTTGTTACTTTATTTAGATTGTAACCATTTTAGTCAGTTAACATGGATCAGATGAAATATTGACATTTCGGACCCTTTACTTTAGGTATATTGTATTATGACATTTATGGTTTAAACATAGCTAAGATTTATAATTAGCCATATTTTTACTAGAGGGTGTTTGAATACCAAAGTAGAAATTGGACATGTATTTACCCCTGGGGGATAATACTTCAGGAAAATAAATGAACAAATTGGCTATTTTTTGCTATTCCAGGTTATGGAAACAGAGAAGCTCATTAGCAATGTACACCACATTGACCAGAACCTCGCAAGGAACATAGAACGAGTTGAAGATTTCTACAATGATTACTAAGTTATATATGTACTTTGATGGAGAAAGAACTAAGATATTACTGGATTCAATTGGATTGATTTCCTCTTCAGCGTATTATTATATTAATGCATTATGCTAATGCTAATATACCATAAAAATAAGGCAATTTACTTTTGATAAAAGAACTTGTATTATGTATTGTTTTAGTATTTTTTAATTCAATTAACTAGGTATCTCATGAATGTTTTATAAGATAATGCAATTAGGTTGGTTTTAGTGAAATGCGAACCTGTCGGCGCATACTCGTTTCATTGTGGTGCTGATCGCTGCGAAGTACAGACAGAGTGTCCAAATTGCTGAAGTATATTTTTTATGCTAAAGGAAAGAAGTGACAGGGAAAAAGAGAAACACAGCATATTCATCCACTTTTGCGTGAATTAATGATAAAGTATGAACCACAATGCGGTATGAGTGGATCGGATACATTCACACACTTATTTAGTGTTCATCGCCATTCCACATGACTGTACACGCTGACGTCGTCCGCTCAGCCCGAAGGCAGAGGCGCGCGTGCGATGGCAGAGCGCAACTGCTCAGCGGCACTAAAGCGCAACGCGTACGGCCGCGCACATCTCGGCGCTGAGCGGTCGGCATAACTACAGAACGCTTCTATAGAGCACATACTGGCCTGTCGAATTGATACTAAAACCAACCTTAAGTTAATAATAATGCATCAATGTTAATATAAACTTATTATTAATAGATAGATAGTAGTGGTATTGCTGTGCTTATTTTATGATCTCCTTTATATTTTTGCCTTAAGGACATTGTATATTTTTTTCAGCCTGAATGTAAGGAAAAGGAAGTTCGACTAAGTGTGATAAGGATTAAAGATGTAAATGAAAACAAAGTGGTTTTGTTTAATAAAATAAGAAAATCTGTAAATTATTTTGGTTAACAGATTCAATAAATAGGTTACCCCAGCGTCATGTGATTTTTGCTCATCAAAATGTTTTTATACAGCAACATAGAGACGCGGCGCTGCAGTCAAACAAGTCTCCAAAAATTTAAGAATGTCAGCTGTTTGAGTAATAAGAAATTACATTTAGATACACATTGAAATACCGAAAAAAATAGTAACATCATACTAACATTAAGATATACATTGTGTCCAAAATTTGAAAACTTTCGTTTACATTTGTTTACAACAATACATTATTAACTTCATATACAAAGTTCCTACTCGTGTCACTAGATGGCGCTCATCTTTTCTTAATTTCACAAGCACCTTCACGCTTGCATCAGTTCAATTCTATAACGATGCGTTACGGTTTGATATCCCATACCTATAAACTAGCTGTGCCATGCAACTTCGTCTACGTAGAAAGGTATATAGAATTCATTCTTTCCTAGGGATGGAATCGAATCAAGTAGGATCAATGGTCTATAACGCACTACTGGTGGGTTTTAACGACTGCTGATGCAGCCGGGACCCAACGGCTTCACTTGCATTCTGAAGCACGGATGTGCTCAAGATAATAATAAAGTTTTTCCAATCAATGCTAGGTTGCCTTGAAGAAATCGCTGGCGACCGATAAGTTTATCTTTTTTTTCTTGTTGTGCAATAAAGTTTTACTTATTTAACCGCATCGTACACCGAATGCGCTAACCCACTACGCCATCGAACCTCTTATAATGTATATATAATCAGTGCATTTTCCGTAGGTATTTTCCTAATTAATTTACACTACAATGCCCCGAAATTTATCCATTAACGAAAGAGCACAAATAATCGCATTACACAATTATGGTTTGAATATTAGTGAGATTTCTAGAGAATTAAATGTGTCGGTAGGTATTATTATGTCTGACGTGAGTTTAATGTAAAATCTCAGACCAAGTCCGAGTGAAAATTTTTTTTTTTTATTTTTTCTGTTCATATTTTATTTTTGATTATAGAGACAAGCTGTCCGTCTTTGGATAAGACGAGAAAGCGAGGAGGGGAATTTGAACGCTCGGAGTCGTAGCGGTCGTAGACCTGAAATATCAGATACTCAGCGAGTCTTCATGAGACGGAGTTATGAGGAATCTGGCTTAATACCAACGCGTTATTTTGCCGACATATTTGACGTGACTCTCCAAACCATTAGAAACCATTTACATTACATGGGCTTACATCACAGGCGTTACGCAAAGAAAATTTATATGACTGACGCTCATAGAATGGCCAGCGCCATAGAATATTTGGATTTTGATTGGAGTAACACTGTTTCCTGTGACAAGAAAACTTTTAAATCCAGTCAACACGGGCGTCTACACCTTTGGCGATTCAATAAAACGCGATACACGCAAAATCATGTCGTGCCAAATAGAGAATCGGGTCGTATCTCGGTAAATTTGTATGGATGGATGACTGCTGATGGTGTTGGAGACTTGACCTTTTTGCCACCACGAGCAACGGCATCAGATTATGTTGATGTTCTCCAAAATGCTATGTTGCCATCCGTCAGGAACGTTTATCCAGAAAATGAAATGCGTCAATTTAATTATTTACAGGATAACTGTCCCTTACATAAAGCAAGGGTAACACGTGCTTGGTTTGATGCACATCCGGAAATAAACTTGATACCATGGCCTGCAAAATCGCCAGATCTCAACCCTATTGAAAATATGTGGGGTCTTATGGTTCAGAGATGGTGTAACCGTAATGAACGAACAGCAGAAGCACTACAAGGGCACTGCAATGAGGATTGGGAGGAAACACGTGGGTCTGATATCTGCTCAAGACTGGTGGGCTCGATGAGGGAACGTCTCCAAGCTGTTATAGAGGCAGATGGCGGCTACACAAGATTTTAAGAATTATAATTTTATAAAAGAATTGTATATATTTTTTAACAACCAAAGAATTAGCATTTTCACTATCTCTTCTAGTTTTAGCCCTTGTCTCGCACTAAGCTATGGGTCGGCGCAATATGTTTTTCGTCGCTATTCATTTTTGTTATCCGTTATCTCAGTATATTCAGACCTATAACACGCATAGCTTCTTACGCATAGCATTTCACTACCTACTGATTTTTTTTATTTGTATTAAAATATAATTAATCTACATTCTAATGTAGGATATTGGTAGACTATAAGACTTTATTTACGATATTCTAACTCTAAAGTATTTAAACATACAAACAGACAGACAGAAAAAAAAATATTTTTGGCTTCTATTAGTCTTATGAAGGCTGTCCATATATTTTTTTTCCAAAATATCTTACAAATGTAACCTTGTTACATTTTTATTATAGGTATAGATAATTACTGTCAAAGGTTACGTCAAAATGATGAAGATAGCAATAATGACGTGTACTTGACGTGTCAAAAAATTAATGCTACGGAAAATCAACCTTGTTGTTAGTTGACGTAACACGCGAAATTCAACCTTAGGGTGGTAGACCACTTTCTTGGCCGACTGTACGTCATCTTACCTAATAAATATTACCATATTGGTAATCGGTATGTTGTTCTGTTTTACCATAATATAATATTTTTCTTGTTAAGTTTCCTTTCAATTCATGCTGAAAGTGAGGCAACTTGAAAACAAAAAACATCCTCACGGTTCTTGTCTTTTTTCGCCGACCCAGTAGGCCTTTTTCAATGAGCGAGGGAACTATATATATAATCTTTGTCTGTGGGAAATGAGGATTTATTAGAAAAAAAACATTAGTTCCCGAAATCAAACTAGATGTCGCTACGGTACGTTCTTGATTTCTCCATGACAACCCTTCCAGTTTTCTTTCATGTTTAAAAGTAAATTAGTTTTCAAAATTTAATAAACAACTCATATTCTATTTGTACTTTTTCGTATTTGTATTGATATCTAAGTTTCGAACATTCCAAATTTCAGTTTTTTAATATGTTACTTAGAAGGAACAGAAATGACTGTTTTTGTTCCATTCGTTTCCTGCAAAAATCAACTTTTGCTGGAGTCGCCATCTAGTGGAGGTACTTTTGTAGTGCTTTCATTTTTTTAATATTTCCTCATTATACAGAATCAGAAAAAAGCGCCGGACGAAAAAAGGGCGCCGCGCCCTGCGGCGCCACTTTTGGTCCGGCGCCCCTGGGCGGTCGCCCAACCGCGCCCTACCCTAACGCCGCTCCTGATTATAATATAAACATATGAATAAACTATGAAGAGGAAAGATATGATTGTTTTTTACAACGAAATGGTGACGAAACCACTGAACCCATTTTAAAAATACTTTCATCTACGGGAGGCTACATCATACTCGAGTGACATATGTTTACCTATATACATATATAGGTTATGACCTGTGAATAGATTTGTCTACAGTGAAGACTGAAAATAACAACTTTAAAGTAAAGCGATTTATATGTAAAAAAAAAACAAAATGATTAAGATAAGACTATTAAGATGAAAAAATTGATATAACTCGAGTTGTCTTCGCTCATTCGAGAACGGTGTAAACCCACTTTAGATTTATGCTGAGTTAGTTTCTGTAGCACGTGGTTTGGCCTGAAATTCTTCACAGTGAGACTGTACGATGTTCTTAAGAATCTCATTAATTAGCAGTTTTGCAGTGAGAGAGGTTAGCCGTTTTCGGAGTATTCTTACTATTGAATTTAGGTACCTTCATGTCGAAAGTAACTGCTAAGAGGCGTTTTTTTAACGTCGAGCAAATGCTTCTGGCACTGTCTCTGTTACCTGGCAAGCAACGGAATGAGTAGGGCACTCGTCCGTGAACCCACCCGGCAGTTAGGTCGTGTGAGGCCTGCCCACCAAAACCCCTACTGTGCCACCTCTCGTTGAATATGAGTCCCTGGAAGCCGTGGCCGAGTCACCAGGACAATCATGTTTTGATCCATTTGTCCCCTCGTCAATGGAGAGGCTCATGAACATCGACAGCCTCTCCTAGAGAGGCGATTGCCTGCAATGCAGGAGTGGCTGCCAACTATCTCCGCTAGCTTCGAGGACGTGAATTATCCTGATAAAAATTTACTATCGAAAACCTTACGCGCTGTAACTACTTGATGTTTAATTGCAGCAGCGCAACGCTCTGTTCGCTTGATCTCCTATTCATGTGTTTGTATCCCATTTTTCTATTATAAGCTGAACAGTATTTAATAAGATTGGTCATATATAATTGAGGTAAATTTACATTAGAGTATCAAAATCTTGATAATGATTTTTTTTATATATCATGTTACAAATTATCATTTTATAGACAATATCAATACGTAGCTCAGTAGGGCAATGGATAAGCGCCGCTGGCCGCAATTGTTGTTCTTAAACAATTTTCACAAGGGTATTTCACGGGATGGGTGACCTAAAAATATTAAATAAAGGCCTGAGCCCCTACAGTAGAGATATAAAAGAGATGATGATGATGATGATCAATACATTAAATACTCAAAATTCAATAAAGCAGTTAAATTCATAGCAATATCGACGAACACAATACTTCAAATTGACATAACTTTTTTATTTATAAACCGATTGAAATAAAATATAACTAAATGTTAACGGAAGATTACCACAACACAATAGAGAAAACTGCATTTAAATCGGTTCAGCCGTTTTTGAGATTAGTGTGCACAAACGCACAGACAAACAACAGACAAAATTTTTAAAAATCATTCTTTTGTGTTCTATTACATTTATAAATGCCCCTCATAATAGATTTCTTTCAAATATCTTCAATGTACATACATCGATGGGTTAACGTTTTTATTATTTATTTTATTATTTATAGATATCGGATATCGAGCGAGATACGGAATCCGATGTATCGCATCGATGCATCAATATAGTGTTTCAAAAAATATATCGACGCTATAATATAACCCGCAAAACCAACATTGTTCTACAGAGCAGAAAAACTTTTATTTTTTTCGATAAATAATTCCTATAAACGTGCATGGTAACAAATAAGGTATTCCTTAGTCAATTCATACGGAAATAGGATATTTCTTTTGGAATATAAAGATTTTCCACTCTAAATACGATATTGATACAATATACGTTTCAATATTTATATACGATTTGTATCGACCACTTTTAATAGGTAGTATGAGTGTAAACTAAGGACAATGCTCAAAATATATGGGAAAAAGCCCAGGTCCGGCGCAAACGAAACGTTACTCATATTAAAGGCATATTAAATGAGTAAGCAAATACTGCATAGGAGGCATCATCAAAATTGATGGCTTAATGTGTGATATTGCTATTAGAATTGTGACATGAAAGGAACATGAATAGTTAGAGAACTTGCCAATACCGCACGTAAACTTTTTAATGATACCGAAATCGGCCAGATACAAATAGTACAGCCAGAACGATTTCATTACGAGCATACTATATGGAAAAGATTTTCCCCAACCTAATATTTTATACTATACAAGATGGAGTATTTCTTATTCGAGTATTATTATGAACTATAACTATCGAGATCGTAACATCAGGCGAACGGGCTAGTCGAGTGGAGATTCTTCGAGATGTTATCGGTGTGCGATGTGCGTTATGCGGAGGGTCGGTACCGCAGCAGGCCGTTGTCGAGGCTGCGGCAGACGTCCTCCAGCACGGCGCCGGGCGCGCACCGCCAGGGGTCGCGGGTGGCGCGCTGCCACGCCGCCAGCCGCGCGCGCAACTGCTGCTCCACGCCCTCCAGCGACCCCTTGCCTGGACACGCGCATGATATATACTACACACAGGCTGGGTAAATTTATTGTATTTGATCAATTTGAAAAAAATCGAAATGAACCAGTTTTAATGCATAAATATTGTTTATGCATAAAAAAATTATTGTTACAGTTTTCCTTTCCCCAAAACGATAACACGGATAGAGTTTGACTTAACCACTCTGACCGTTCTTAATGTTACAACCTGTATATAGGCACTCCGGTTAACGCGCTTGGTCTGCAACGAAACAGACCACGGGAGGTTAAGCGACTTTCGCTATAGGATGAACGAAAACTTATTATGTCCGTGCCCGACTGCATCTGCAGCCGTTTTCACATCGATCCGTACCGACTCGTCGAGGTAGATAACGACCCACAGAACACAGATAGACGTTATGGTCAGATCTCTCTTTATCAAGAATGGTACCTAGGGCCTCAACTAAAGGATAGGGACGCAATAAGTCGATGTATAAGTATCGATGTGTAACTATAGTCTAGTCGGCACATAAATACTCGAATAGGCTTCCTTCATACCGTGCAGGTTGTTGGTCTCGGCGGGGTCGCGCCGTACATCGTACAGTTCCCACTCCGGTCGATAGTAGTATTGCTTTAGCGTCTTGTACCACGGCAGTGGCTGCTTGCTGCGGGTGCGATTCAGTATATCCTGTTTCCGACAAACGAGATAAATAACCATCAACACATTCAACGCCAAGAAAAATATGATATTTTCCGTTCGAGTCATGACGTCATCACCGTTGAGCGTCAATTGATCTTTCCTGAGGGGCCGCGCCGCCCACAGTGACCCGCGCATCAGAGGTGTTTTGAATCTAGAGATACCTACTAAGTCTATAAACTCATACGAATGGGGGTTCCCGTGATCCTTTAGACTACTCATACCATTTGACTTGCATGGATTTTTACAAATCTACAAATCTCTACTCTTTACCAAAATTCTAAGAAAATTTGTACGATTTGCAAAATTGTTTGTAATGGATGAATTATGTGACCGATTTAAAGTTATTTTATTTATGAAAAGCACAAACGGACATCAGATATATTTATTTATTATATCAAACCGTAACGCATCCTAATAGAATTGAACTGATGCAAGCGTTTGGATTTGTGGGTGAGCGAAATAGCAATATTCAAATATGCTTAGAATTCAAAACCTTAGCTTATTAAATTTGTTTGTTTCCATAATTTTCTGTGTAGTTTGGCAGTTTTTAACAGACTTCATTTTTTGTAGAATACGAAGCCTATGAAAAGAGCATGCTTGTGAATAAGCATGCTAGTTAATCGCACGCCGGTTTATTTTCTCGTGCTGAATTAACAAGTGTGAAGCTGCTTGATTTGTTTTGCTACTTGTTTGCTATTGTGTTCACGATGGCTTGAAGATACCTACCAAATATAGATCGTTTCACATATATATATAGTTTCAAAAATATATATTTAATATTTTTGAAACTCTATATTATATATTTATATACATATAGTTAATATATATAATTTATAGTAAAAATATAAATTTAATATATAGTTTCGAATCGATTGTGAAAATCTGATATTACCCACCGCCCAGCCACTACCTATTAGAAATAGCTTACGCAAAAGTACATCGGGCAGATTTCGTCAAAATTATTAATATAATAGATATAATCATATTTTTTGTTATCTACTAGGTACTTTTAAACAAGCGATTTCTGTATTATAATCTAAATCTTGGAAACGGTTTGAACAATGAGGAAGTATTTAAAAAAACAAAAGCACTAAAAAAGCACCTCCACTAGATGGCGACTCTAGAAAAGTTGATTTTTTGCAGGAAATGAATGGACCAAAGACAGTCATTTCCGTTCCTTTTAACTAACATATAAAAAACTGAAATTTGATAAGTTCGAAACTTAGATATCAATACAAATACGAAAAAGTATAAATAGAATATGAGTTGTTTGTTGAGTTTTGAAAACTAATTTACTTTTAAACATGCAAGAAAACCGCAAAGGTTGTCATGGAGAAATCAGCAACGTACCGTAGCGACATCTAGTTTGATTTCGAGAACTATTTATTTTTAAATACTCCCTCATTGAGCGTGTTCATCGGTGCCTCATACGAGGAACATTTTCCAGATAGCAATTTAAAATTGTTTCTGACTTGCAAAAAGTTTGATACGTCAAAAAGAAGACTTGCTTCAAGTTTGCCATGACAACTGTAGCAACTTGCAGCAAGTTTAAATCAAACTTTCTAGTTTCAGTGTGACAAACTTGCACTACCTATCAAAGGTAGTGCAAGTATACCTAGTAGGTACTCGAGTACAGGTTTCGAGGCAAATATTACTTGAAGTTTACTAAGTTTTTATTAATCTTTTGATTATTCAAAACTTTTGGTCCAAAAGCGATTGCGACTTTAAACTCAGACCAAAGCACAGAGCCTGCCTAAGAGCTAAAGTAATTATCTGGAACGGTTGGTTTCGAATCCCATGCTAAAATCACAATAAACGGCATATTACTTATACAATCTAACAATATAAACTGATACCGCGATGCATTAAATGAACAGCGCCATCTAGTTTGCAGACTTAGAACTATTCGGGCACCTATGAAGATGATGGGTGTGTTACATATAAGTATCTTTGTCATAACAATATTCAAACAATATTGTCGCAAACTTGAAACTTCATATTTAACATTACAATATTGCAGCGACATTGTCACAAACTTGCCTCGTATATTTGACACAGCAATTTAGAATCAAAGAAAAACAAAGTTTCCCCAAGTTAACATGCTATCTGGGTAACGTACCTGAAAAGTGGGTGATACGTAGAGATCTTGGTCGATAGGGAAGGGCATGCCGAAATTCAGATTGTGAATGAGTTTATATCGTCGCGTGATCACGGCTCGCATCGGATAGTACATAGTGACCTCATGATGCGTTTGTGATGCAAACACTGCGTCGCGATCCGAATACGGAGGTTCTGAGAATAAGCAAAAAAAAACTTGTTTAGAAATTAACTCAATAACATTATTAAAAAGTTTAAGCGTTAAGAACAAATCCCGTCTCCCATAATAATAGAATAGATTGGTTTATTAGATGTAGGTATCTTATTGTTACGTTAGCACAATAAACAGATTATAAAAAAAAGAACCTTTTTCGAGAATAGGCAGCAAACTCTTCGGCATGTCAGGTTGATGTATTTCATTGGATTCATACTGTTCTCGTTTGACTCCCATCCAGTCGAGTACGGTGGGCATCAAGTCGAGCAGACTGGTCATGGCCCCCGAGACCTGGTTTCGGCGGACATTGGCTTCCGGAGATACTATAATCAAAGGTTCACGCAGTCCTGGTTGGTACAAGTTAGTACGCCCCGATGGGAACGGTATACCGTTATCCGACGTGAAAATCACAAGGGTGTCATCAGAATGACCGGCGTCTTCTAATTCTTTGAGAATCAATGCAACCCCTGAAAACAGATTTTGCATAAGTGCAAAATACACTACTTTTTATGATGCACGAGTTTAGTTTGTGGTGTTGTACAAAGATAAATACCTTGATCGAGTCGCGACATAGTCGTATATTGTGCTGCAACATCTCTTCGTGCCGCTTCGGTGTCCTAAAAATTACAAAAATTACATTTAGACTATATGTAATGTAGAAAACAATATCAGCCAAATCTTGGCAGTCGTTCGTAGGCCTCACCTGTATATGGAAAGGTAGCTCCACCTCGTCCCACTGGTAATACCAAGGCTTCCAGTCAGGTATGACACCCATCCCTTCTTCACCAGAGCCGAACCGCTCACAGAACGGTCCATATTGAGGGTCGCGATGACCACACCGATGCGGATCATGAAATCCCACATACAGGAAGAAAGGCCTGTCGTGACAAATTATACGCAAAAAACAACCTTTGTCAGTTTATGAAAGTACAGTCAACAGCACGTCATACTAAAAAAATCTGCCAACTACCCCACTCGATTTTAAATCTTAGTGTATAAAAGGTATAGTGTAAAATCCATTCCAGAAAGTTGTCAAAATTATGAGGACAATGAAATTTGTCAAAAATAATGAGAAATATGAAAGTTTCAAATAATATCGCTCAAAACTGCTTGGTTCATTAATTTACAAGAACTTTCATAGCAAGATATTTTCGTTAATATTTTCTAATAGAATATTTTCGAAGTAGACTTTGATTAAAGAGTGACTTACTTCTGTTTTTGGTTGGCGCTAGTGAGGAACTCGCGTGCAAGCAATTTCATGTGTGTGATGTTGCGGCCCACTTGGTTGATATGATTATTCTCCTCTGTTTGTTCATAATCGAACCGATACACCTCTGCAGGGCCCACATGCTTCTTGCCGATTATCCCTGCACAGAAACCAGATTAATCACATTTCGGACATTTGGCAAACTTTAACTTTGTATTAGGTACCTATTGAAGGACCTTTAAATGATAGGCGCTCGGCTTCAATTTCGGTTATATTTTTTTTACGTTTTTATAAGATTGACATCGAATAAACTTTGGGAATATGGGATTGTGTACTGTACCGGTGTACACATCGTGCTGACGTAATATTGCTGGTAAGCTGGTGATGTTGTCGAAGGAGCTGAAGTGGTGTATGCCATGATGCAAGCCATACATGCCATTCTGGTGGCTTGGTGTGCCCGTCAGAAGCGCGGCACGACTGATCAAAATAGATATATTTTTATTTAATTACACATCGTAGTAACTAGTATGTTACAAGTGTCTCAAGTGAGTTGCGTTAGATACATGTTGACGTGCTCGTACCTGGGAGAGCAGCTGCTGACGGAACTGAAGGCGTTATTGAAGAGCACGCCGCGTTGAGCCAGCGCGTCTATGTTTGGTGTCTGACAGATCTTATTCAGATACGCGCCAATCTCAAACCCCCCATCATCAGCTGGATAGGGACATAAGGACAGATAACGCGACTTTGTTTTATACTATATGGTAGTGAAGAAACAATCTTAAAATTAAATTGAACCTAAAATAGGATCTTCGAAATACCGTACTAGACAACCTTAATACGAGAATCAAACCAAAAACCGAGGCTATTTGTAATTTGTATTTCAATAGGGATGATGACTGGGTAAAAAAAAATGCAATTCTATTTAGTCCGTCAGTCAGATAATAGAAAAATATTAGATACGTATTTTGTTTTACTTCAATTAAACAAGAAATAGCTTAGATAACAGGCATTAAAGTTGAGGAGTGGGGGCTCACTACGTCACAGTTGAGTAGAAAATGTACTCTAACGTGACGTCATGCGAAATTTCAACTCAATGTAACGCCGTAATTTTATGATTACGAAAAAAATATGTGTTTCATATTTTTTAACACTCTAACTGACAGACAACAAACAAAAATTAGTCATCATCCCTATTAAAAAAATATATGATTTTATTTTTATTTATTTACCACTATGTCGGTGTGATTAACATGTATACTCATGCTAAATTACATCTTTTCGATACCAATAGATTTTGAGCTAAACCGCGGATGGATGAACAGACAGGCGGTCGTGGCGAAACTATAAGGGGTCTTTTTTAACTACAGAATTCTGAAAACCGCAAAATTTAAAATAAAAGCTACTTTGTTTAACAAATATCAAAATCAAAATCAAAATTTATTTATTCAGTTTAGGCTTTTACAGAGCACTTGTGAAAGTCGAAAACTACGCCATCGGTTCGCAAAACTACGGCGGGAGACCTTGTACTGAGAAGAACCGGCAAGAAACTCAGCAAGGGCTGTTTTTTTTTCCCTGTTTTATTTCACACAGAGAAGTCTTATTGAAAAGTGACTTCATTAGAATATGAAGTCACTTTCCATTACAATATTAGAAAGTAAATACAACAAAGTTAAAATATCAGGAAAACTAAATAAAATATCATAATATCGATTGTGCGCCTACTTAATGCCATCCTAGTGTTCGCTTGTTTTGTGCAACAATAACGATGACTATTGAAAACAAGTAAGTAATTAACACGCTTTCCCGTTCGCCGGTTTAATGCTAACCCGACGCGAATGGTAAATACTTCGCACGCTATATACGATTACATGTATTTATGTGCTCGTGCGCCGATTGTTATTTAATCTATTGTTTTTCATTTCAAACCCTCTGAAATCGGAATACTGGATGGAATTATCACAGCACAGCCAACCACAATGCGCGACACACAAACAAAATCTATATTTAATGCATAATTGAATAATCAGTTCTCGATATTATTCAATACTTTCATATTTACGATCCGATGATATATGTCAAAAGGGACCTCTTATTTTGTGAAGCAATTCCTAAGCTTATCATATTGTTAATCTGTGATTCCCATTACGTTACAAATAAAAGAACAAAAGTATTTCTTTTTGTAACACTAGTAAATGTTGATTTACTTACCTAACAGTAAAAGAACATTTTTGGCTTTGGAGGATAGAACTGTTTTTGTGATAAATAAACACAAAAACAAAATACGTACTCCTGGTTGTTTGCGCATCGTGACGCGGTCGCGATTTTTGTTCTCAATGAATTAAAAGTTATGACTGTCCGACTGACGTGTCGTTATATTGACTGTTGGCTGTGGTGTTGGCACGCCGGTCATTGCCGTGTTCCAGTTATTGACCTCTGATTTTGCCTCCCAAATTTAAAAAATAACTACGTTATTCGAGTTGAAATATTTAGCTTAGGATGTCGATGGTACGTAAAAAAGTGTTATATCTCTTCGATGTTGATGGCACCTTGACTAAGCCGCGTCAGGTAATCGAAGAGGAAATGACGCGATTTCTACTGGAAGACCTGAAGCCTCGGGTCGCAGTCGCCCTCGTCAGCGGATCAGACTACTCTAAAATTGTTGAACAAATGGGCGGGGAGCAAGTAACTAATCAGTTTGATTACGTTTTTTGTGAAAATGGTCTAATGCATTTTCATAACGGGGAGTTAAAAAGTAAACAAAGTATCTTAAACCACATGGGTGAGCAAAAGTTGCAGAAACTTATAAACTTTGCACTCAGGTACTTGTCAGACATTGAGCTACCTGTTAAAAGAGGAAATTTTGTAGAATTTCGTACAGGAATGATCAATCTTTGTCCTGTAGGACGTTCCTGTAATCAAGCTGAGAGGGATCAGTTTTCTGCATATGATAGCAAAAATAAAATCAGGGAAAAATTTGTAACTGCTTTAAGAAATGAATTTCCAGATTATGGTCTGACTTTTGCGATCGGAGGGCAAATCAGCATTGATGTGTTCCCTACAGGTTGGGACAAGACTTACTGCTTAAACCATATTGCCGATGCTAATTATGATGAAATCCACTTTTTTGGTGATAAAACTGAAAAAGGAGGCAATGATTATGAAATATTCATTGATCAGAGAACCATTGGACACAAAGTGACATCTCCTCAAAATACCAAAGAAGTGGTTATGAAATGCCTTAATATATGAGAACACACACACATATATACATATATATATATATATATATATATATATATATATATATATATATATATATATATATTTTAAGTGGTTATGTGGTATAGGTATTTAAATAGTTCATAATAATATTTAGAAACAGTGGTATGATACAACATTTATTTAAAATTGGGTGGCAAATGTATAACTTAACTTAAATATTTGTTTATTCATTCTAATTTTAAAGGGTACATGTAGTAGTAGTTGGTCCATCCTAGTAGACATACTAAGATGTCTGTATCAGGAGGACCTTCTCTTACAAACATGTATAAGTTTAAACACCTTTAATTTACAAATCAAGCATTTCATGCAGCATAAGATAGAGAAAAACAATATTTATATAATTTTCAATAAAATTTCATCTGGAAATGTATGTAAATATGTAAATATAACATATAAAAAATAGTTCATTTTTTATTATTAGAATAATAATATCTTCATTTCTCCTTACAAATACACTGTGGGTAAAATGTTTCTAAAAATATAGTATTTATGTATCAAGTTGACAAATGGCTCTAACAATTTAAAAATATTGCCTATATCTAACATTAAAATATGACAAGAGATATCTATGTTATATTTCACTTAACAATGTCATAACATATCAATGTCTTCTAAAGGCTGAAATACAATGTTATACATTTACATTGAATATATGTATCAATTTGGTCAACTTATTATAAAACCAGCAAGTATTGTATACGGAACATTATTGTTTTCTGTTCTATCAGTGTTAGGGTATTGATAAATTAATTTTACCAATAATACAATTTAATAACAATTTTAAAAAACTTTTACACCCAAAATTATTATTTAATTTTAAGCTTTTAAATTATCAAGAATATGCTTATACAGTATATCAACATCTTATATATTTCCTTAGTGTTTATGATTTGCACTATTTTACTAACAAAAATAATTATATTCTGACTATTGACTGTGTTCTCTGGTATGTTTCAATTTGCATTATATTATTTGCTTGCCAGATCATATATTACAATATTAACTTGCTAGCCAAATTAAATTGAACTAAATTGTACATTTCACTTAATTGGACATTTTGATTGTGAGTCAGTGGCCTTCATATACAGGTTTTCTTTTTTCTATAAATGATATCATTCCCTCCTGTCTATCCTTAGTGGGAATGTTTATTTCATAACATTTCTGCTCTACTTCATAGCCTTCTTTGATGCTAAGCTGGATGCCCTCGTTTATGGCTTGCTTCGCACATCTCAAAGCTATTGGAGCATTCACATTTATTTCTTTGGCAATATTGAGAGCCATTTCGAGAGCTGCATTATTGTTTTGATTTTGTGGAACTGCATGATTTACTAGACCTGCAATACAGAATGTTAATTATAATTGTTGATATTTTTGTTTCACTAAACACTTAGATGCATTTACATGGTTAGTTATATTTATACAAGTACCTAATATACATAAATCATTCTGTAGATACTGCTAATTGCAAACTATAAATATCAGTCACGCCAGCTTGTGGCCAAAACCCTTATTAACCCTTATGTGGATAACTAAATAACAACTTTCAGAATCCTACTTTTTCTGTAGTAAAGACCCAGCTTGAAAATAAATCTAGAGACTCTAACCAACAACTTATGGACATGGCAACATAATAAATGCCATTATTTGATTGTTGTTGTCTATAACTTACCCTTTTCTTTGGCTTCTTTACCACTTACAACTCTTGATGTAAATATTAATTCCTTTGCAATGTTTAAGTGTACTGTCCTTGGAAGCCTTTGAGTACCACCTGCACCAGGAATGAGACCACGTCCAGTTTCCACCAAGCCTAGTTTTGCTGACTCAGCAGCGATCCTAATATCACAAGCTAAAGCTAATTCTAGTCCTCCTCCCACTGCTACACCATCTAAGGCTGCAATGGTGGGCATTGGCAGGTCTTCCACTTCTATAAATGTTTCTCTCAAGCCACGAACAAAAGCTGCAACTTCTTCATCTGACATTTGAAATCTTTCCTTTAAATTTGCCCCTAATAAACATTTTCCAGTTATTTATAAAAGAATCACCATATTAAATATACATTTTCTAGGAGGCATACATACCAGCACAAAATATACCTGGAACTAAACTATGCAGTATCACAACTGAAATTTTAGTATCTTCTCGTAAAAGTTGATTGACTTCTCTCATAGCTTTGATTAGATCGTATCCCAGAGCATTTCGGTCTTTTGGGCTGTTTAGTCCATACATAGCGACCCCTTTGTCGGGACCTGTCAATTTATGAAAAACGACTGGACCAAAGCTATCATTTTTTTGCTGATATTGTGTCGATAGTAACCTCAAGACAGAAGAATTAGCTAAAATTCTAACATTGTTTAACTTGGTCAACATTTTTGCGTTGATCTACAAAGAATAAAGCCTGTTTTAATTCTAAAACACGAGTAATTCCACTTATGAGCTTTATTTGCCGAGTAAGAGCAGCAAAACGTGTTGTTTGTGAAATGATAACTTATCATATCATTAAAAGATAATTTTATTGAAATAAATAAATGTTTATTGGATGGCATAGAGTAACTTATATTCACACTGTAATGTAAAAATAAAAATTATATTTTTGTATGGAAAGTAGTGACATCTTTTGGGCATGGCATTACGATTTTTACTTTATTTACATCGGGTTAGTCTAGATGTCGCTATAGGCAAGGTTTACAGTTGTCGAGATGTGTATAACAAATTTAAATTGAGAAATTAAAATAATTTGGTGCTTTCTCACACGAATTAAATTTTGTTTGAAAAAGTAATAATAACATTTGCAATGAGAAAGTATTAAAAAAAAAAATTCCCGAAATCAAACTAGATGTCACTATGGTACTTTCTTGATTTCTCCATGACAATCCTTCCGGTTTTCTCTCCAAATTAATTTTCAAAACTTAATAAACAACTCATATTCTATTTGTACTTTCTCATATTTGTATTGATATCTAAGTTTTAAGCTTTGCAAATTTCAGTTTCTAGAACAATTAACACTTGTTACAACAGTGGTTTCGACAACCTGAATTTTAAAAATCACGTCGTTCATTCATCCATTATAAGGGGTAAAAATAGATGTACCACAATATATTATTTATTTGTCCAAATAGTCCAACAAAAATAAAATGTATCTAGTTTATTAATGATTTCAGATTAATTCCACCGTATTTTAAAGTCATCCAAGTTAATGAATAATAGTTAAAAATCAATTTTAAGACAATGTTTACTATACCAGCATTGTGCATGCATAATTTATAGAATTAAACTAGCTGTATCCGCGATTTTGTCTTCGTGGAAAGTAGCATAGTAATTCCTTATTACCAGAGTTCGGAATTAGGTAGAGTTATTTATGTACTTGCATCGAAATGTTGATATTAATATGGACCTTCCCGGGATTTCTAATGGACAATCTTGGACATCTTTGGACATCCGATGTCATTGATGTAAGTTTGGCAACGTCGTGCGTGCAGTAGTTTAAATTGTGTAAAAGTAAATAACTTTTTATTAAAAACATCACGGGATTTTTTCTGCTCTTTAAAATTTATCTCAGGATTTGAGGCATATCCACTTTATTCTTTCGCTGTATGAAATCAGTGTAAGTACATGAATAACTCTACCTAATTCCGACCACTGCTTATTACATAAGCTATCTGCCAGTGAAAGTCCCGTAAAAAAAATGGTCTAACCGTTTCAGAGTTTTACAAACAGACAGACAAAAACTGTAAAAAATATTATTTTGGTATAGGTATGTACCGTGTATACTTACATGTGCATTTATTAAGAAACGGTTAATTTGTATTTGTTAAAATAAAACTGTAAGAACCGTTCATTTCCTTCATCGGGAATTCTCCGACCAAAGAGTAAAGTTTATTTGTTCATGGGAGAATTCCAGGGTTGCCGTAAGTATTAGAATATCTACTTATAATATTCACACTCGCGATCCGCTAAGGGTTGCTGAGCCATCGAACTAAAGTAAGTAGGTACTATACTAACGTTTTAAACTATTCCTATTGCTAATGTTTAAAGAAATAATAGATGGTCAATCGTCGATTAGGAAATAATAATCGATAGCAACTGTTTATTTGAAAAATCGATTAATGGTAATCGATTCCGCACACTTACTGATTTTCGAAATCACTATTATATTGTTGTAAGTACTAAGTGTGGTTGTAAGGGTTAAATGTTGTAATAAGCATCGGTATAGTGGAGGTATATTGTTACTTATAAAAATTGTGTAAGGATCCTATCATCAAACACCAAAGTAACTTCCACAATGTGTGATGAATTTGCTTGTGAACTAGACGTTATTACTAAAACTACGCTGCAAGTGTATTTTTTGCGAAATGTAAAAAATACTGAGGAAATCAAAAACAACATTATTGCAGGTACATGGAAGTGTGCTGTTATAAAAGCAAATTTGATATTAGATCCGTTCCTAATAGCGGTGGCTGCAAACCGGGCAGTGGTTTCTGAAAAACTAAATACACTGGTAACTAGAACGGTATATACTGAGATTCTATATAATTTGTCTCTTACTAAGAATATAACACAAAGTTTATGTAGGTTTGGCATTGAAAACAATAGTGATCTTTTAGTTTGTTTTCTAAAAACATCAGATATGGATTGTGGTAAAGAAATATTGTCAAAGATTGATGGCGATATTTGTCCATTGAGTAACCTCAAAGATGTCGTTGATAAGATCAAAATTAAGAGCTTATATAAATTGAATGATTTAAAACATGATATTGACTTGGTAGATATTATTGTAAGTAGAATGGTAACCAAGACTTTTGTGTCGCATTAAATGATACATGATCAAAACTTTTTCTTTTTATAAATTCCAAATTTTTAATCCTTGAAATATGATCCTATGCAGTCTCTGTTTATTATCACAAACATCACAGGCCTAGTTTCGCCTTATAATGTTTGTGATAATTATAAAACAATTCAATGATTAAATTATACACCTGTCTAATATGCAGTAATATCACTAATGTTATAGACATCATCAGTTTATAATGTCCTGTTAGATTATAAACTTTAGTAAGTTAACAATTCAATTTAGTAGCTCGGTGGCGTAGTGGATAAGCGCCGCAGCCCGCGATTGTTGTTGTTAAGCAACTTTGGCAAAGGTCGGTCACGGGATGGGTGACCAAAAAATTATGAACTCGAGCTACTCCGTACTTCGGAAGGCACGTTAAGCAGTTAGTCCCGACTGCATTTGCAGTTGTTAATACCCTCCAATCCGCAGCATAGAGGGTCATGGCCTATCCTCCTTAACCGTCCATAAGGAAGGCCTGAGCCCCTGCAGTGGGGACGTAAAAGGGCTGATGATGAAGTTAACAATTAGAGAGAGTTGAGTTCAATAGCAACTTTAATAAAATAATGTAATTGCTTTGGGAACTCAACTCTCTTCTTAACTACAACTTCATAAGAGTATTATGTAGTTAGTATAAAACAGTTCGACTCTCCAAATTCTTTAAGAAGGAATCAGGCTATATAGTACATGAAATCTGATCAAGATGTTACTTCCAAAATTCTCCTGTTCCAAAAGCCTGTTTGGTTTTGTAAGCATAATTGCAAACTTGTTCACAGTCTCTAGGTGAAAATATCTTTCTAATGGTTTCAACTTGACATTTGGTTGTGTGCAAACTGGTCTGAAAAGCAGATTAAATGCACACCTGTATGTTGGTTTGGTATTCTTCGAAGTCATGACTTGATTAAGATGAATTAGATGGAAGCAACACTGAATTCATGAAAAAATAATCAGCTGTTTCATACGGTCAATGATTGTAGGTTGTAGGTATTACAATTTGGAGCAGCTGATTATTTTTTCGTGAATTTAGTGTTGCTCACATAGTAAACGTTGTTCAGGTTATTTAATTAATCCACCCCACGAAGTCCTGGCATAAGATAATATTACACCTTATATTATCACAATCAATTGATGAAAATGGCCATTCTATTGGATGGCTAGCCGTTTAATTGAATGGCGCCATTCAATGAAGTATTTAATAGTATTAATAAGCCAAAATACTACTCCACGAGTATTTAGAGCTAGAAGTACGCGTTTTTTAGACAGTGACATCCATGAAGACTCGTGACACAATGTCCCAAGATATCGCGAGTGCGTGAGATTTGATCCGAATTCATCGTCGGTTGGGAGTTGCACATTTATTTATGGTACACAAAACAGATTACAATTGATAATCTAATCACAATAAAAATCGAACTAATATTATCGCCTGAATTGCAATCTACTAACTTGTGTACACTACATGCATTAAACTTGATCTCTCCATTCATAAATAACAATCAAATAATATATATTAAGTGATTTAAAGTTAAGTAGCTAATGTAAGATGAATATTAGATTACATTATACTAAAATCAGATTCCATTGAATTAAAATTAGAGATTAAATTGAATTAAATTACATTGAAATTAGCTCATCTCCAAGTTAAAAGGAGATGTTGAATTTATTTTAAAGTAACTGATTATGCATAACTGAAATACAGGAATTACATGCACCAACTCAAAAAAAGAAAAATCATTGATTAAATAACACCTGTCTTAAAGAATTCCGGAACCGACAAAAATATAAGTGAAATATGTCGACGTCCCCGACAATTGCAACAATTTCATAGTATAGGCGACACATGCGGACTATTAGTACTGCATACTGTAATGTAATGTATTTTAATTTATTTTGACCAGCAACAAATAAACCCGTGTCCTGTATAAACCTTTAATAAGAAAGAAACTAAAGGTGAGTCTCTGTGGAATGCACTACCTTTCTATTACATGTGTACACATTTATATTCACTCTGGACGTAGGGAATAGGGTATAATGAAGTAGAGAATTATAGGTACAAAAATCATTCGCTTCTTAAAAAATGACATAAATTTTGTTTATTGCACTAATTTCTAATAGATGGCGTTATGTTTTGTGTGAATGTTGGTGTAAGAGTTTTGCTTGTTGATATAAGTTGATTTAATTTTTTACAATATAGCTCTTTTATTTTGCATACATTAATCTGTGCGTCAATTAATTTGTCATAATAAGGGCGTTTGTTTGGCTGAATTTTCAGGTTCGTTAGTCCGATTTTTCCGGTCCGGAATGACACGAAATACCCGGATTACGGAGTAGTTTGTGCATTTGTCCGTCTTTCCGGATCGGAGTGGATTACTTCTAATCCCACCAATAAATTTTCAGTATTCCCGATGGATTGACAGTTAATTCGTTGGTTGACGTTTGTTTAGCCTTATTGTAAATCGAAGCATTCAGTTAGTCGGCTGATCGAAAGTCTGCCTGTTGAATGGCGCCATTCTATTAGAGGACTAGCCACCCAATTAGTCGTCTCATTATATCACTTGGCTGTGACATATACATTTAGTAAAATGCAAGTAATTACACCTTCATTTATTTTAATCATATTTTATTTAAACATCAACAATGAATTATTATGTAAAATGTACATTTAAATTACACAATATGTAAAAGCTGAAAATAAATCCATACACTAATTGCAATATTGTGGTACACATGAATCCACAATTCCCAATAACTCCTCAATGTCTTCCTACACATAATGTAATTCTCCATTTATATTTACTGATGACGAAATCATATTAATTATTTTGTTCATAAAATTGGTTTTAAGAATTCATATCAAATTTATCATATAGAAATTGCAAATCGCTAATATTACACTAATCATAATGTTAAATGCTCATCGTATGACTTATACTATATAACATTAGAAGCATTTCATATCATCACACACAATACATATAAACATACTGAGTACACACCTACATGATCTGTATTATTTTGTTATCGTTACTCATGCATTAATTATACCTGTGAACTAATGCTTACCCGTTAACTGAAACGAACACAAAATTGGTTACTTAAATGTATTAACGAAATCTTATAATAAAATGGCATCTAATATATTTATTAAGTCTTAGGAACTTTCAGTAAATCAGTAATCACACAAACCATTTAAAATAAAACTACTTCATTGTACAATATCATGGAACTATTAAGTTCTCATATAAAAATAAACGAGCAGGCAGCCGCGGCCGCAGCCGCAGACGCAGCCCACGACGTACCACGTCCATGTGTCATATAATAATAGGTCGCGGCGGGTAGCACCTCTTGAACACGTTTCGTTGAGATGTGCTACGTTACAATCTTAATTAAAATAAATACACTTTCATAATACATTGTCAATGGGGGGAGGATTTGGGCGTAAATTTAAAAGTGATCGGTATCCAGGACAAGATTAACGGAACACGTAATAATTTTAACATTAACCCTGGAATTTACCGGAAGATCATTTTGTATAAATAGTAATAACAATGTAGTAATATATTGCATAATGTATTCAGGACCGGACAGTCACTATGCGTATAATATTTACAGAGTATACTTAAAGCACGATTTTTGTGAATATTTATTTTATATCATTTAGGGTTACAACTACAATGGGACAGTCGAAAGACAGTCGTGCCACGGGAGGGGGGCGGGGGGGGGGGGGAGAGCACAGAGGAAAGGTGGATGTAAATTAACGTAGGTAAGTATGGGAGCTGCCGTGAGTGTAATTATGTTAGCGGTAGGTAGTGCATCGTATGCGATATATAGCTGCGCGTCGACACCCAAAATATACAGAAACATATATATCTGTATAATATTATATACTAGCACCAAACGTTCGGCGTCGCGCCCGACGGAGTCCTCCCCGGTCGGCGACAGCGGCACGTGACCGCGAGCGAGCGAGACAACACTAGCGAGCGAGCGCGACAACTCTTTCGGCCGCGGGGAGAGACCGTCGTCGAGACGAGCGAGGGGGCGGCCGCCGCTACACCTGCCGATTATGTTCCCCGTTTAACACTCAGCAAACAATGTGTCGTCGAACGCGTTCGATGCGGGTGTATAGTGTGTATAGTGTGGCGGTACCTCACTGGTGGTGGAAGGGCAGCGGTATGGGTATCGAGTAGTGCGCGTGTCACCGGCGCGGCTCCGCCACGTACACGCACACCGACGAGTCCTTCGAGCCCACGCCCATCGCCAGTCTGCACAACACACTCGTTTGCTATCTCTTTTGCGACAATATAAGTTCTAATATTGTCGCAAAACAGATAATAAATAGTAGCCAAGCAGGGATGAGTGTACCATATGGTTGCTGAATATTTTCATTAGTGCATATTAATCATTGGTTATGATAAAAAATAGCCGGTAGTTTGCTGTAGACGAAAAGTGTATATGTGATGTGTAGTCACAAACTTTTATTGATAAGAATTCTAAAAAAAATTAATAAGTTTCATTATTATAAATTCATTATTATACTCATTATTATATAAAATTTTCTCATTTCAAAATAATTATGACGTCATTGTGCAAAATGGCAGTTAAATGATAGTATTGACAGTAGACGACAAATCGATTATGTATGGATTGAACGTCGATAAAATTAACGTTAAAGGATCAATTTTCTATTTCCTACTAAGAGAGGTCTGGCTACGGTGGTGGTGTGTAGCGTGACGTGCTGCCGTGTGTACATATACTGAACTGAAAATGACCAATAAAGTAGGACCCGCTCATGACTTCGTCCCACAAATTGAATATGACATTGCACACTATATGCAATACTGCAAAGTTTCATGTCATTGACACTAACAAGTATGTTAGAAAATTTTATTTGACTAAAGATAAATATTATCTTTCTAATTATTATAAGAGACAAATAGCTATTTCGCTATCATATTTTTTTTCTATAACAGCCAAAAATTTGGCTA